TTTTTCAGACAAACGTATAATGGTCGCATGATATACATGCTTCCTTCCAAAGGTATGTTTGCTTCATTGTCAGGGTTTACAAAGTTCTTAACCTACTGATAAAGTTCCTTCTTGATCAATTGCATTAAGATGTTTGTGCTAGTAAATATGTATGTCTATCAATTGTAGGGAATAAATGGTGGCTATGGCTAACCATTGTAGTTGGAGGAATGATGATCATACCTACTCTGTTCTCTGTCTGCTACATCATATGGAAAAAACGCACATCAAATGGTTCGTCTCTCTGCAACATAGATGTGTGTTTATTGTTTTTATCATTTTTAAACTCCAAAATGATCCTTCTAATTTGATCAGGGGATAAAAACATTAATCAAAGGACACTAATAAAAGAATTGGAAGGCAGTGATGCGCCTTCCATCTCATTTGGAAAGCCAAAAGGTCATAAGAAAGATAGAAATGAGCTCCATGTCTTCAGCTTTGAAAGCATTGTCTCTGCTACAAACTACTTTTCAACTGCAAATAAGCTTGGAGAAGGTGGTTTTGGACCAGTTTACAAGGTAATACATGCCAATGAAGAAATTATTGTGAATTCTGGTAAGTAATAGCTAAAGAGAAAATTTACAGGGTCTACTATTTGATGGTCGAGAAGTGGCAATAAAAAGACTCTCGAGAAGTTCAGGCCAAGGAGTGGCTGAGTTCAAGAATGAAGCACTGCTAATTGCAAAGCTGCAACACACGAATCTTGTGAGGCTTCTAGGATTTTGCATTCAAGGAGATGAAAAGATATTGATCTATGAGTATATGCCAAACAAAAGCTTGGACTCCTTTCTATTTGGTAAACTTTCTCCTACTTGATTTGTCGCCTTTCATTTGATACCAGTTGATGAAATTTCATGCTCAATAAGCTAAAATTTGACAATTAGATCCTGCAAAGAAGAAAATGTTGAATTGGAAGATGCGTCTTAACATCATTGAAGGGATTGCTCAGGGGCTTCTTTATCTTCACAAGTATTCTAGATTGAGAGTGATTCATAGAGACTTAAAGGCCAGCAACATTTTATTGGACTGTGAGATGAATCCAAAAATATCTGACTTTGGGATGGCTAGAATATTTGGACTAAATGAATCTGAAGCAAACACAAATAGAGTTGTTGGAACATAGTAAGTAGTTCAATATTTGTAAATTGTCTTTGTTTGCTCTGCCAAATGTTGACAAAATGGTGTTTTGATGATTTCTACAGTGGTTATATGTCTCCAGAATACGCCTTTCATGGCCTTGTTTCTATCAAAACTGATGTTTTTAGCTTTGGAGTTTTGCTACTAGAGCTTGTAAGCGGAATGAAGAATACCAGTCGCTATTATTCTGAGCATCCACTTAACCTTGTAGGATATGTAAGTTTCTTTTTTCTCTCTTCACGCTTCCTCTCTTATCTCTTCATTTTGAATGAATATATTATCACACCTTTATATTTGTATGAGAAATACAATCTTGGTTTTCATCAGACATGGCAGCTTTGGAATGAAGATAGAGCCTTGGAGACAATGGATCCTACTTTAGATGGATTTTGCCCTCATAACCAAATATTAAGATGCATCCATATCGGCCTCTTGTGCGTACAAGACCACGCCATTGATAGACCTACCATGTCTGATGTTGTTTCAATGCTTTCAAATGAGACAATGCTGCTGCCACAACCAAAGCAACCAGCATTTTTCATTACCTCTGTAGTTCAGCAAGAAGTTGGTGGTCCAGAGATCAAGTCGGAGAACTGTTCCATAAATCAAGTGTCAATTTCTGTGATGGAAGCTAGATGATTGTTTCTGGCGTTACAGAGATGCTTATACGACAGTTGCATAAATAAGGACTTGGTTTCCATACCATACAGGTTGTTATTGTGTTTGTCTGTACACTTATGTCTTTAAATTCTATGAAGTATAAACAGAATAATGATGACATTTTTCACATTTATGTCGAGATAGCATTAGCAGATCCAACATGATGAATCTGCCTACAAGTAATGGATTAGTTTCTGGATTTCCACATTCTACTTTTGATGCTCTTGCTTACATGTGTTATATCGTACTTTGACTTTGGTTAATGACAATACGAAATTGCTGAAGAAATGTGTGATTGAGGTAAACATAGAAAAGCTAACATCTTTGAAGAATATATACTTTAGTTTTCAATTTGTGCTTCTCCACGGTCCACGCCATCTTATAGAGAAGATTGAACAAGGATTGGTAGTGTTTTCATCAACGCTGTTTTAGAAATTGACGACCACACGCACTAACAACAGTTAAATCTGTGTTTTCATTTCTATAGATTACTCTGTTAGGAAACAGGGACCGTATGTAAATTACTATAGTAAAGCATTGATTAAGTGGGATAAAGCATGGACAGAGTGGGATGAGTAAAAGCCAGGTGGTGGTAAGTCCACGCAGAAGTTTCTAAGCAATAGGCTGATCCTTGCACAATAGAGAGGATGCAGAAATTGCAGAGCGAAAGACAGGGAGAGGGAATCAACTTATGGGACAATGATAAAATTATGATAGTAGAACTCATGCACAACAAAGTACAAACCACAGGCAAAAATAACTTTGAGACAGAATAGAACCAACACAAATTTTATTGAGTTTCCTGGGAAACATTTGACTCCTTAAGTTTGTAGCAGATTCAGCATTATACTAGACCACACATTAATCCAAATGATAATATAACATCAAACTAAAACAGAAGATGTCATTATAACATAACTTGTAATTTAAACACACAATCCATAGGTTTTGCCATGTTTGGAGTCTGAACTCTCATTTCTTCCCACTCTTCTTTAAACCAGCCCCTCCAAATGAACCCTTCTGTGATGCCTTTGCTCTTAACTCTTTAAGTGCCTGCTCACCATATTAAATTATATATTGGGTTAGCCATTTGTCATACCAGCACAGCCACAGATAGGAGCTAGACAAAAAGAAAAAAAAGCACTATTAACTACCACCATCTCACCTTTTCTTCTTCCTTCTTTTTCTGCATATTAGCCATATCAGTCTGCACAAGAACAATTGATTCAAGGTTAAAAGGATATAAATTGTTATCAGTTAATATTTCAATTTTCAACAAAAGGCTTATTAAGTCAGCAAGACTACCAAAGAACTTGCCATTTACCAACAACAATTATTAATTGAGAGGAGCAGGAATAAATTAAAACATCCATGAAAAATTGAAAACACAAACTGTAACAAATTATAACATATAAAACACCCACAATTCCTTCAAGGTCCATAGTGAGGAAAAAACGTTAGGCTTCCATTGAGAATCACAAATCAAGAAAATTGAACAGCACCAGAAATTCGAATAACAGCAGAGAAATTTAATTCAAAACACAATTACCCTGTTCCTCATAAAGGCTAATTATGTTAAAAGAAATCAACCAAAATTGTTAAGAGCGCAAAAACCAAATCGAGGGGAAAAAAATGATATTTGTTTGATTCGAGCCATAGATAAAAGTTACCCATCAAATAAATTCCTTCAAATAATACAGATCGGTTAAAATTACCTCGTCGTACTCTTTCTTATCAGACTTGGGTTGCTTCAAAGGCTTCAATTTGCCACCTGAAACCGACACCCAACAAAAAAATCACTCTCCTCCCCCACACAAATTACAGACTAAATTAACCAAATCAAGATCCTTAAGTTCGATTTAGAGAATCGAGAAATCAAATCAAATCAAACAAATCGATGATCTTTTCACCACAATAATATACATGCAGGGATCGTTAAAAGGCTAAGATGGATGAGCGTACCTTGCTTGGACGACATGGTTGAAATCTAGGGTTAGGGTTAATGTTTCGCTCACGAATTTGGGAAAGGGAATGAGAGAGACCTAACCCTCGCACTCGCAATTATTGATGGCTTGTTGAATCGCTGGTGCTCCCGTGGCTATAAATATAGAGGAAAATTCCCACGCGCTTGGCGAGTGACCAATTATTTGGTCCCCAAAAAAAGTATAGAAAATAGGAAATTGTTTTTTTGGTAGAATAGAAAATAGGAAGTTACTAGGAGCAATCCTTCCTTTTTTAAAGGGAAATAAATTTTTTTTTAAAGAATCTTGGTACATGAAATATTTTTTTATTATGTAAAAAACAAATTAGAGTAGTAATTTTTAAATATTATCTTAATTATTCTCTTTACAGGAAAAATATGTATAAGTTAAACGTGTTTTTAAATATATCTTAAAATTAAATTATTTTAATAATTTTTATTAAAAAATAAAATAATATATTTTAAACTAAATAATGAGACTTTTTTTGTTTTTTTATAATATATTTATTAAATGATATAATTTTTATTTTTATTTTTATTTTTTAAAAAGTTTTTATACGTTTGGTATTGTATTGATACTATCCTAATTTATTATAAAAGCACTTTTATTTAAAGGTTATAGATATAAGAGAATTAAAATATAAATAAAAAATAACTTCACTATTTAAAATTGAGAAATAACAATTAGTTTCAACTGAAAAATGTCTTCTCATAACATGTATATTCTTCAACTCTTGCCCCTGTTTAAAAATTGAAAAAGAATAGGAATTGCAGATTTTCAGCTTGGCTTTTAAGAAAAAAGTATAAGGATATTTATATAATCAATTAAATATTTTTAATAAATTAACACACAAATAAAATTTATTAAAATTGTTTAAATAATTTTATAGCATTTATCTTTTTCTTGTAGGTCAACCATAAAAACATTTTTATGAGAAGAATGTTGGAAAAAATAAAAAGTGAAATACTTAAAAAAAAATAAAAATGAACTTGAGCATTACAAATAATGGCTGAAAAATGTAAAAATGAAAATGCAGTCTTCAATCTTCACAGGATTGACAAGGATGGTAGCAGAATACAGCATTCTCAGGCAAAGTTTTATACTCTGTTTGGCTATGTAGAATTGATAGGAAACAAAAGATCGTTTGGTTCAGAATTTCAACATTATTCAGTTTATACATATGTTAGTATTAGAATTACAAAATAAAACCTGTATACAGAAGTAACATAATGCTAACATTTGTAGTCATAGCAGAGTCAGTTACTGTCTCTCAATCATCTAGCTTCCATCAATGAAATTGATGCTTCATTTATGGAACAGATCTCTGACCCAATTCCAAGAACACCTGCTTCTTCCTGAACCGCACTGGTGGTGAAAAAACCTGGGCTTTTTGGTTCTGGCAGCGGAATTGTCTCGTTAGAAAGCATTGCCACAACATCAAACATGGTGGGTCTATCTTCAGCATGATCTTGTACACACAAGAGGCCAATATGGATGCATCTTAATATTTGATTATAAGGGCAAACTTCATCCACGCTAGGATCCATTAACTCTAAACCTCTACCTTCATTCCATAGGTGCCACGCCTGTTGGAAATAGAATTGGACATACGATAAAGAAAAAAAACTCGCCTTAAGGTGTGACATTATGTTTATTCAAAAATTTTAAGATTAGGAAGGGCACTTACATATCCTGTAAGCTTGAGAGGAAGGTCAGGATGACAACGTGTAGTATTCTTCCTCCCACTTAGAAGCTCCAGCAATAGAACTCCAAAGCTAAACATGTCAGTTTTGAATGAAACAATGCCTTGGGAGACATATTCTGGAGACATATACCCACTGCAAAAATAATTATAATCTAAAATTTTAGTTGATAAAAAAAAAAATTAGAACATAAATTTTAAACATTCAAAAGGGAAAAAAAATTTCAAATACAAGAAGACAGGTAGATGAGACCAAATAGAAAACTACTTACTATGTTCCAACAACTCTGTTTGTATTTGCTTCAGATTCATTTAGTCCAACTATTCTAGCCATCCCAAAATCAGATATTTTCGGATTCATTTCGTTGTCAAGTAAAATGTTGCTAGCCTTCAAGTCTCTGTGAATGACTTTCAATCTTGAATATTTATGTAGATAAAGTAGCCCTTGAGCAATCCCTTCAATGATAATGAATCGTCTCTTCCAATTCAACATTTTCTTCTTGTTAGGATCTGCTTGTGACAATGTAGCTTAGCAAGAATTCCATCAGCTGGTAAGTGAGACAATTCAAATGATTAATGGAAACAGACTTCTTACCAAAGAGAAAGTGGTCCAAGCTTTTGTTTGGCATATACTCATAGATTAATATCTTTTCTTCTACTTGAATGCAAAAGCCTAGAAGCCTCACAAGATTAGTATGCTGAAGCTTTGCAATTAGTACAGCTTCGTTCTTGAATTCTGCTACTCCTTGTCCTGAACCTGTGGAGAGTCTCTTTATTGCTACTTCTCGCCCATCATGTAATATTCCCTGAAATTATCCTTCTTTAGAAATCTCTTATGCAAGTTCATAGTTCCGACTTCTGACAAATATTACCTTATAAACTGGTCCAAAGCCACCCTCTCCTAGCTTATTTGCAAGTGAAAAATAGTTTGTTGCAGAGACAATGTTTTCGAAGCTGAACACCTGCAGCTCATTATTTCCATCTTTCTTAAGACTACTTGGTTTTCCAAATGAGATAGAACTCGCTTCACCACCTTCCAGTTCTCTTAATAGTGTCCTCTGCTTAATGTTTTCATCACCTAATCAAAATTTCAAGGATTCAGAGTTCTGGAAATGGTTCCTAAGACAAAGCAAAATTAATGATAAACCCCACGAGAACACATGTCCCAGAGTGAGAAACTTACCATTTGATGTGCTTTGTCTCCAGATGACATAGCAGATAGAGCACAAAGCGGGTAGGATCATCATTGCTCCAACTACAAAAGTAAGCCAAAGTAACCATCTGTTCTCTGCAATCAATTGACTAACATCTTTAGATTCTTTACCACCAAAACATCTAAGCAGCAATATGTCAATTAATATGCTATAAGTAGGCACTTTGGAGAATAAAGTAAACTCACCTTTGGAATGAAGGATGTAAATGACACGGCCTTGCCCATCGGGCGCTGGTTTTAATTCTGCTCTTGATGTCCAAATTTCACAGCCAGTCTTGTTATTGTCCTGATGATTGATTGCAGCATAAGCAAGACAATTACAGTTTAACAAGCATTTATTTCTACAACCCACAACAGTCGGGTCGTCACTGTTCTCTATTGTGAATCCACCTCTGGACATTGATCCATAATGTTGTGAGAAAATTTGAACCTTAAAATTTCTCCTGCACATGGGAAGAGTTTGCCTTATGCATTTGCTGTAGTTTTTGGCGTTGTAAGGTTGAGAACATAAAGTTGATGGGAGCCAGTAGTCCTCGCTACCAGATAACATGTCGTGCTGACCACCAATGCCTATTCTTATTCCTGGGAAATAAGAATAGCTGTGCCTTGCAGTGTATGTGTAAGTGAAGTAAGTTTGGGTTCCATTTTGAAAGAAACTAAAGTTCAAACCATAATCAATCCCAGAAAAAGATTGAAAGTCAAAACTGCTCTCTCGCCAATTTCCGCTACTCCAGATTTCGACCCCTTGCTCCCGTATGACGAGTTGTTGTTTATTGGGATCCACATGGAGGGTATAAGAGCCTGAGGCAGGTGAATTGTAACTCTTCCACGATGTAAGATTTGTTGTAATTCCCAGTTTCATGCCCGGAAGAAGAGTATCGGTGGGATGTTCAAAGCTTTGCCACAGAATCCGCTTCACAGATCCATCTGAATCCAGCTCCTGCAGTACGAAGTTACCATCATCCTGCAGAGTGGCACTGGCGTTAATCGAAGCTGGAGTTGAGTACAAGGTAGCGATCACCTTTGTTTCAGCAGATGAAATCTGGAGGTCTCCATTGCTGCCAACGGAGAGAACTCCCAAACGCATCAAGATTGGGTCGTCTCGGTTTGCAACCCATACAGGTGGCAAGGAAATCCTTGGAAAGTCTTCTTCGCCATCTTGGGACCAATTTTCTTCGTCGTACCATATTCCCAAGAAAGATTGATCAACAGAACCGGAATCCTGTTGCCAGTAAGGCACGAAGAAACCTAACTTGAATCGTTTATTGGGTGATTCCAGTTGCTGCCAATATCTGAGCGGCCTACCTTGCTCTAGAGTATCATTAGCGGCATAAGAAGCAATCAGAAAACACCAAAAACAGAGAAGGGCGACCGCTGTTGCTCTTCTTCCCATTCTTCCTCAACTTGCAGATCAAAAGTGTGTCCGTTAGAATGATGAGTCCTTGGAGCCTCAATTAAAATCTATGGACTTTGAGTGGTATGTGGGAGAGATGTCGTAGTCAACTCTGCCTTCTAGCTTCCAAGTTAAAAATTGCCGCGATCGTGAAAAATGAAGGAAGGAAGAAAGAGAGGACGAAAGAGTAGTGGGAGCTTTAGAGATAAAGACTTTAAAAAAATTGTCAAGGGTCAGAATGCCCTTTAACTTTTAGCAACGACTGATAATTTTGAAACCCACTTGGATTTTTTAAAGGTCTTAGGACTTTTTCTTTCTGGTTGTTGCTCTTCCACGCCGTCATCATCAGGATAGGATCAGCCGGCATGGATTGTGGGTTTGGTGACTAGACATTAGAAAGAACGGGGAGAGAACATTACTGTCATGTCAAATCCATAGAATTAACAAAAGAACTAATTATCCTTCTTTCTGCAAAGTAGTTTTGATTCCTAGAGTATAAATGTTTGAAGAAAAACTCCAGAGAGAGAAATAGTTCATGATCCTTTTTTGGGCCAACTTCAAGATCTTAATAATCTTACTCCCACATTATTGTCTTATGAAGCAATTATGCAACTCATTCCAAATGCAATCTTCGGGACTTTGAATTAGCAGTGTTGGACATTAAGGAATAAAGAATGAG